ACACACACACACATATATATATATGTTTATATATAGTAGATGTATGTTAAGAAATATATGTTTTTACAAATTTATGCATAGGTATATATCAGTATGCGTATGTACATACGTACGAGTGTCACGCAAGTGTTCACTTGTGTGTTTTATCTGACACTCACGTACAGTATACAATTTCATATCATGCTTAGTAATACATGCTTATAGTAGAGATTCAATAGATACATCTCCGAAACTGGACGTGACATGTACAACGTTTTATAAATTTGTGATGTATACTGTTCTATATGCGTCCACGATCGCAATTTCAGATTTTATTGCAGACATATGCATGTGCACACATAAGATCAATTGTTTCCCTACAAGAATATAGGCTCGTGTCGAATTTCCGGGGAGAGCGGCATCAACGCACTCAGTATAGCCACACATGTGTGTCATCCAATCATAGGATTGGCTCTACAAGTGATCAGGCGAATCGTCCAGCTTTTGGTATGATAGAAGTTTGTTATGGGAGGCCATGCGTGGCAATTTCTTTGTCGGATTCTTCGCGAGTCTTCACGCGTTCAGGGCAGTACAATGTATGTGAATGTATGTGCCTGTGTACTGTAACCTTGGGACGCCCAGTAGACTAAGTCTTGATACAAAACGCTTTTGACAAGACATGGCGAGGATTCAAGACAGCTGAAGGTTCTCATTCCTGCCCAGATGACCACTGTCGCATCGAAAGACCGCTCAAGCGAGCGCTGGTATGCGATTGAGCTGTCGCTATTCGCACAGACTCAGTCGGATGTATATGTAGCCTAGCCTCTGGGCATCTATTTGGGTGCTAGTCACGGACACTCTGTGGCACTGCCCCATGGTAGCGTATAGTTTGGGAAAACTATGTCAGATCAATTGTACCGTGTAGGTTGACTTTTAGGGGAGCCTCCGGAGACTTTCCAGATGAAGGCTTCGCAGGTATGCTCACAGACGTGTCCTTGGCAGATACTCGCGGTAGAGTATTGTATATAACAGCAGCATTTGGTGGTTCTGCGCCGACCGTGCTTCTTGAGAGATCTATAGGACTGGGCTGGTATCCGCTCTATGGTATTTAATAAATATCAAGGTATTATGATATGTCTTGTCGATCAGTATTTGATTGTACAGTCATGCATACAAAATCATAAAAACATGCGCACAATTTCTTGGATCGAAATTAATATATAGACAAGCTGGTATCAACAACATGCTGGTATATATCTGGCATATATCTGTTTATAAGTCAATTTGATATGTTGATGAACCTAAAAAGCATAAATACATAAGAAATATTTGATGAGTTGGTCATGGTGTTATCGGAATATACGAGGTGGAACACACAGACGCTATACATATCAATTGTATAGGCAGCCATACATAGACCTAGACATCAACATTCCTTTAGATGAAATCAAAAAGCGAAGTACAACTATGCAACAAGCACAGAATGCAAGTACGCAACATACCGTACTATTCTGTAGTAATGTCTGTCCGTGTACATCTCTTATTGTGGACGCCCACGGCCGATTGCTGTAGTCGCGGGCCCATGCCAGTGAGCCAGGGGAGTATGTGCTGCTGCCATATCCACACGGGTAAGGCGTTGCATTGCGGACTTCGTGCGGTAAAGGTAAATACAGCGTGATGGTATCATCTGCAACGTTTGTGAGCGAGTAGGTGGCGTATGTGAGAAGGCGTACATAGGTTTACCCGTGAGAAGGAATGCATAGGTTTACCCGTGAGAGGGCATGCATAGGCTTACCCACCCGTGTGCATTCAGAGACGAGGCATTCATATGGGATGTTGTCAGCTCGCGCACAAGTCTTGTCTGCCGTACACTCCCGGAACAGTACCTTTGCCATTCACCCCGCTACTTAATTGGCTTTTTCCTTGATCATCGTGCTTTGATTGGAGGTAATCTTTACAGACGTCATCTGATTGTTCTGTGGGTATACTGTACGGCTGGCATGTCAATTTGACTTTAGCTGGCACACGTAGTAGCGCGGCCTTATCCTCCATCGAATAAAGGCTTTGCGACGGTGTGTTGGTAAACTGGAGAGCTCCCGCCAAGTTGGTATTCAACAGCGCTGCATATAACCAATAGTGCATGAAAGAGTGAACTTAATGCGGATTAGATGTGAAGATCGAACGGTGGTGAGACATTCAAAGGGTAGGTTAGAGCTTCTCATGAAAGTTTTCGATGGGTTACAGCGTTTTGGACGACGCAACATATAGAGTTCTAAATATTCTGTGGCTTTAGACATACTACAGATTGCAAAATTGCCACATTGCCGCCCCACACATACCGTTACTTACAAAAGCATGTGCATAATTTCATGAGAAGTTCAATACACATGAACGAGGTGCCAGTAGGGTACGTGACCATGTGATATATAGCTATAAGTATTACGTTTACCTACTTTGATTTTACCGTACCCAATACAGCACGCAGGTATGGGCCAGATATAGGACTAAATATGGCTAAATACAACAGAGCACAGCTCAACATGTCATACATAAATTGCACGAGACAAATATGGACGGCTCTCTAAATGGCACGATAATGATGTCAAGTACGCAGAAAACAAAGCCAACAAGCGCATGGCTACGTTTTGTTGATAGAGTGAGCTCCCATGAACTATCAAGTGACTCACACGCAAACAAAACGATATATGTTAACGAACCCTGAGAGCATATATTCACGCTTTGTACCACAGAGCTGAAAAAAATAGTTTACACAGGTCTATACATAGAACCTCCCATTCGCATGCTGAATATTGTACACACAAAAATTCACAGATCAATGCAATTCGCTGGTATAAAACCAATTGCGCATTCAGGATAATGCAATCAGGACGCACAAACGTACTATTGTATCTATCTGTACCATAATTGAATATCAATTCGAACCCACATCATTCCACGCCAGAACAGGTACCTATCAAGCGCAGACAAAGCTCAGACGCTTAAAATACTATATACAGGAACGCACTATAGATACGCACACGCACATGCAAGTGAAGCACGCGCATTCAAATCAGCTTTAGTAGTACCGTTGGTAGCAGCATGATCGCCCAGAGTATACTTGTTTTCTCGGTGTACGTATTATGATCTACCTGCTACCCCACACTGCACGACCCACGCTAACGCTAATAGAGCAGTCGTTTGGATACAAATCCGCTTACAATCCATACCACCCTCACGCATTCGCACCCATATACACTCACTCGACTCAGAACCCTTCGTCTACCCATATAAACCCAAAACTTGTATGCACACACCAGGTTCAATCAGAATGCCAGCCTCAAAGCTTCGGATATACATTGATCTGCTTCCCTTCTGATCCTGACCCCAGGCGGCCACAGACATGTTTGCCGATGTCAGAACAAACCACGCGACTTCGTGAGTCTTGCAGTTCCTCAGTGTGTACGTCTTAATGTGCGGCATAGCACGTTCGCGCGAGGCTCGTTCACCCGGCCTTAACTCCCCGCCATAGGCGAATCTGGAAACGAGTCATGCGTCACAGAAAGTTGGGAACGTTTTGTGGTCTATCGTGAAGATACTGCCCTATCAGACAACCACCTTGCCCTTACTACAAGACTGTATATTATAAGACCACGAGGGTTGGTAACGTTTTTTAAATCATTGAACGTAAGTAAAGTTCTGGTAAAACCTTCATACATTTAATCTACAGAGATCGATATGCATAAGGTTTCTGCGAAATCAATACCCGATATATTTGACACGTAACAGTATATATTTGTCCAGTACTCACACACCTCGCAGACTTGTTTGCATTGTACAAATGCTGATATGTGATGAAAAACACAAAAATATACCTGTAGTACAGCTTTGTTAGGAATGGTTTGTGGTTAGCGGAAGAAATAGGGATTTCACCACCCGCAGCCCACCCTTCGATAGACTGCGCGACCTCATTGACTGTGGGCACAACCAATCGAATGGCGGCTTTGCTCGTTTCCCCCCCATTTCTATTGGTCCTTAGAGCGGTGGTGAATGTCTCGAACGTAGTCTTCTCCTGCCAGGATCCTAAGCTAGACAGTGCAGGTGAGATATTAGTTGAGCATGCATGCTCAAGATTTTCAAACAAGTATACTCCAATAGGAAGTAGTAATGACTGCATTGGTTACATAGGGTTTACCAGCTCATCAACTGAATATCATGAAGCCGAACGCAGATGTACTATGTAGCCTCACAAGCCAAGAAAGACAGCACAATAATAATAGGTGAATGAATGTTTTTCATAGTGTAGAAATAAAAGCTATTGTCGGTCGAGTATTAAATCTCCTTTTGACACAACACCAGTGGTTGTACATATTTCGACGAGACACAGGCGACAGGGTTTACGCTGAATTGAATCACTCAAGAGGTGATCAAGGTGCCTGTACGCCATGGGACTCATACCTGCACACGGCACCAATGCTCCACTATACAGATTGTTTAGCGAACGGTGAATGGTATAACACGCGGACTAAATATGCGTTTACGGTATGCTAAGGTCAAAGAACGTCCTCTAAAATATACCTTTATGCAAACGAAATATTAATTATGCAACTTGCTACCAAAGTAGTGTTGACTATGCAGTAAGCCCACATCGAGCGCTTGCCTACCCTCGCATGACATCCCTGCACACAGATACATATATTCATCTATCAATCAGAGGCATACCTTGAGAATTGGCAGTCGATACTGCTGTCCTCATTGAGAAACTGATCATCTACATTGGTCCCACTCAGAAGATGCGTGAGCCTACCTAGGCCATAGGTCCTGGACTCCGCCAAGGCATGCTTATATCTCCCGGGGATGTGTGGTACAAAGTGGGCTATCGCCAGTGTATAGTCGTACCGCTTGAGCACTTCCATTGGGGTCGACAGACTGCCATTGACTTTGTATCTGTAGCACGGTTGTCTGTAGCAAGCAGAAACATATTGGTGCGTTAAAATTGTGGAAGTCAGTTGCAAATTGGTGATTTCAGATTCTAAGTAGACAGTAAAGAACATTTTCAAGGACAACGTACTTGCGAAGTGTATTAAATCTGAATCATCTTCCTCGATATACTCGAAAGTAAACCCATCGTCCACCTCCATCCATCCTATGTATATCATTTATATATCTCTTTAAGTCTCCGGATTTTACCTGAATGAACTGCCTTGAATCTCACGAGTGCTAATCGTCAAATATGACTGTACAATCACTGCGCGCAATCATCGACCTGACAACAACCAGGCTTACGTCACGATTGATCTACCCATTGAATTGACAGCACCGCTGCCTCCTATCATCACTATACTTTAAAACTATACACACTGACTACCTAAGCGATTGTATAATATACAGGACATGTTCGCACCAATAAAATGGTGCAGCGAAACAAACAACAACACGCGCACATCTATAATCCATGTACATAGGACATACTATCATACATAGCCGAATATGGAGAGCAGTCTCACAGTGCCCATATACATCAACCACTTACATGCGATTTATGAGAACTCCGTAGGCGTCATACACGAAGTGGTTGACATGCACGTGCTGTAGGTCTGAATACCTCTCGTATAAATAAGAATACACACACACATCAAAACCTCCTTTGTAGCCGAAGAAATCAGCCACGGAGGCGGACGGTATTGGAATACTGTGCGACAAGTCATATCTATTGCGACTGAGACAATGTATGCGTTCATTTTGTTTGAAAAAGCGGACTTGGCGCACGAGCAGATAGCACAACGAACGGAAAGGTAGAAAGCTTTCCACTAACGCAAGTAAAGTCGGTAGGCATAAGATGCAATTTTGAAGCAACGGTCCAGAATCGAAAGTAGACAAGATACACGTATACTACGCTTTAAGTGGACAGTCGCAACACACATATCTACATACAAAGCACACAATAGTTTCCAAGAAACATACCCAAAGTAGGAAGCTAAAGACTTCTCGAATCTTGAGGGATTTATACTTTGATCCACCTTTAGCGGGAAGTCCTGCACGTAGTTACCCTGAGGTTGCATTTCATTTATTTGCAGGAGGGTTAGAGCAAACTCGAAACAAGTCTATTGCAACATGTATTGACAATTGCGCTGTTGAAGGAAGTATTTGGTATGTACATACACCACTTTGATACAGTTGATATGTATCATGGGGGCATAGAAACAAATAATATGCATAGAGCATAGGCCCGGTATCATGTATAGCTCAATGGGCCAGAACGGCACAAGTATAATACCTTGCGAGCGATCCTATGACATAGCCAACACAATTGCTGATCTCAGTGTTAACGGAAGCGAAATGATCGAGCATAAAATGAGTATATATACATATGTATGTGGGTGTGGTGTGGATATCCAACAATTTCAGTCAGTGAATAGATTGCATTCGATAAAGTTTATAATCAACCACGAGCGCAACCATCAACTATACTTACCCGTTGAAGATAGGCACACAGGAAACTAGATACGGCAGCACATTGTGAAAACCCCTATCGTGCACACCCCAACTGAACACGTATCGGCATATCAATCAACTACACATTACATGAAAATACACGCACCTTAATGATACATAAGAACAACATACACTCAATTCATGCACGCTTTTTAGATACCTGGATCACACTAAGCTATGCAAGTGCCATGGACACAACGAAACATAATGCCTCACCTGGTTCTTCTTGTGAAAGTCACAGTCGAGTATGTTGGCTGTGCTTACTACCATGCGGATACCGTGATCGTACACAGCAAACCAGACTTTGGTATGGTGCGACCCGAAGGGCTCAGTCACCGGCACGCCATGCACTCTGTGCTTGAAACCATCTACAAACGGTTGAATCATACTTGTGTGCTTATCGCCTACGAAGAAGTCGATTGGGATGTGATTCAATCTGAGAACAGAGCAAGGGGTACAGTTTAGATGATATCTAAGTGTACGCGAATGGTCTTCGAATAATCAATGACTATGTGTTTGTGATCATGGTACTGGTACAAATATTCGGACACTAGCGTGTCGTGCTGGAAATATGTATTTATTGATCATAGATCGATGGTCTGCCTCACAATGCATATACTCACATAGTGAAATACCGTTATTTGTAAGGTTTATAATCCGTTCTCACATAAAGCGAGTACATACCGCAAGGCCATTGTCAAAACTTGGGTGATGGTTTGCCCATGCGGGTGGTCAATTAAGCATGTCAGAGATTGACTTCAACACATGCTGTGACAAACGTTTTCACGAGAGTGTAATATATATTGAAGATTTTAGACGATAAGCTTGATGATTACAACCTTGCAGCCTGGTGTAGACATAGAATCGGCACAAATGTCCCTTGCTAGACGCAGATCACCAACTTATGCTTGTCAAAAAAATTATACACATGAGCACAAATACTATATATATATATATATATATATATACACACACACACACACACACACACACACACACACACACAC